TGTGTATTATTAGACCATAGTGTAAAGAAATTGGCATCATATAATACATAGTATAGTATAGTATTAAATAATATAGTATAGTACAGTATATAGAGTACTTGATGATGATTAAATACATAAAAATATAAAACTATATAAAAATAAATATAAAAATATAAATATAAAAATAATGGTGTGCATATAAAGCTTTCAGAACAGGACTGGTGTACAATAAAGAGTGAAATAAATCAAATATGTTATTTTGAAAGGGATAATGTTCATGATTTTTAAATGACTTCCTTCCCTTGGGACTAGAAGGAAAATGTTTGAGCAAACTTGTTGTAGAGAACTTGGAATGTTAAATGTGGGGAATGAGGAACCTAAGGAAGGAAAAAAAATACCATTCTCTGTTTTGATTATTGTTCCTCCCATGCATTAAACTCCATTCTTGTCTAGGCCTCATGCTAAACAACACACAGTTGTCATCCCTACCTTTCTGAATCACCTTGCACTAATGATGCAACCAATTCATTGGGATGAAATCACTTCACCATAGGAAACAGCAAAAAAAAAGAAATGTCAGGCTTCGATCTTGGATTGAAACATAATTAAAAATTTACCAATAAAGAAATGCCCAGGTCCTGATGGCTTTACTGCTGAATTCTACAAGACATTTAGAGAAGAACTATCACCATTACCCTCTAAACTCTTCAATGAAATTGAAAGGAAAGCAATACTTTGAAATCCAATCCTGAAAGCAAATGTTATTTTGATTCCAAAACCAGGGAAAGACCCAACCACAAAAGATTAATTTATCCATGGCTAATCTGGAGGCTTTCTTTAGGGTATCTGTTTGTTGTTTGTTTATTTATTTTGAAGTACTGGGGTGAAACTGAGGGACATTCTATCACTGAGCTATATCCCAGTACTTTTTTAAAAATTTTAAAATTTGGAAACAGTTTTTCATCAAGTCACCAAATTTCCCAGGCTGGGCTCAAACCTATGATCCTCTTGCCTCAGCCTTGTAGCATCATGCCTGGCATGAAGGTATTTGAGATCCCAGCCAAAACGGTTCTTTGAAGATCCTCTTTCTATATATTAGACTGATTTATTTGGGTCAGAACTACTCACCAGCCAAATATCACATGAGCCTAAGAAATGAATATTATGCAAGCTAAGGAAGGTAATGTGTTTGTTTTCCAGCATCTATGGGACCCCATAAATGTAAGTTCTAGAGTTCCTCAGGACAGCTGATTAATTCCAGGTAGAGTGAGGAGACAGAATGTTCCCTGAAGGAAAAAGATGAGAATCAAAGGTCTTTGTAGGCCACATAGATATTGCTGCCAGTGCAATCTCTCTCTCTCTCTCTCTCTCTCTCTCTCTCTCTCTCTCTCTCTGTACCCAAGGACCCAAGGGGAATTTAGAGAGTTTTGAAGTTTTGAGGAAAATGTCCAAACTGCAGTAACTACTACAGTAAGTCCCTTGGGTCAGGAAATGCCCATGCTTGGTGATAAAAGCATTACTTAGCTACTTTATAAATTCAATCATGCAGGAGTAAATTAGATAATGCATGAAGCTTACTTAGATATGTTCTTGCAAGTCATCAGGAATCAGTGCAAAATGGCTGATATCCATGAATAATCACAAGTTATATCAACTAAATCAATCTCGGTATATACTCATTAGAAAATTATGTTTTTGTAGCATGATATACAGTATTTGATAAAATGGTTATCAAGCATTTCTCCTAACCAACCATAACTTTCACCTTGTAGTCTACATGCCCACTTCATTCTCTTTCCTAAGAGGAGATAATAAAAAGACAAGACACAAAATACAATATTTATGTATTGCTAAGAAGTGAATGGTTTCATTTAAGTGATCTAAAATTACAGGATAGTAATTTGGCAAAAGGGACATCCCACTGCTGCTCCAGAGGTGTATTTTGAGTAACCTATCATAAGCATGAGTGAGTCTCTCCCAGAGGTGTGCTCTCATGTGCTGCTTTCTTGTCTTTGCAGATCCCCCAGATTAGTTATGCATCAACGGCACCTGAGCTCAGTGATGATCGGCGTTATGACTTCTTCTCTCGTGTGGTTCCTCCTGATTCCTTCCAAGCCCAGGCCATGGTAGACATTGTAAAGGCCCTAGGCTGGAATTATGTGTCTACTCTTGCATCTGAAGGAAGTTATGGAGAGAAAGGTGTGGAATCCTTCACGCAGATTTCCAAAGAGGCAGGTAGGAAGAGATTGCAATCATCAAATTGACCCTCTTTAAGAATCTGTGACTTGCAGGGTTCTCCTCAGAGAGATAATTACTCTGTCCCACTCCTGTATTCCCCAAGCTCTGAGAAGTACTTCTGTAAGGTCTTCCTTTATAACACATTGTTTTTGGAAAAGTTTTCAGAAGTGTGAAGCTGAAGTCTCTTGAGTACTAGTAGAAGAAATGAAGAGAAGAAAATGTGAATTAAATTGACATTTTACTTTTGCTTAATAGATAACACTGTGGATCCAGCCTGTATATGAAAACCTGAGAAAATGTGAATGTATGTGCTTCCTTGTGGATGTATTTTTCTCTAAGCTACTCCCCCAAATGGGGAGAATTACCTAGAGTTATGTAAGTTCAATCACAGTGCTACTTTGATTTGAAGAATAGCAATAGTTATGACTCTGAAAGTCTTAATGACTTGGCCAAAACAAATTATCCAGAATGTAGAGTGTAATTAGGCAAGTAATCTTTCAAACATTAAATTATTTTAGGAAAGACAGTGCTATTTAGTAGCACCTAGAGAGAATTCTTTCATGTTTGTTTATTCAGCTCAAATTGCAAGTAATGTGTTCAAAGCTTTGGCCAGCTGTTTTCCATTGAGCAGAATTTGCAAATGAGACAAAATTCACACACTTAGAAATCTTGATAATGAATATGTAAATTTCCCCATATGAAAACATAGGATATAGTATGTATAATGTGTATGCATATACATATACCTATATATACATATATATAATACAGCAATTCCCAAGCATGCATATATATATATACATATATATAAATAATCTAAATAAAACCTTCAATTTTATTTATAAGATTTTTTTTACAGTGATACATGCATCCCCATCTTTATAGCAGCATAATCATAATAACTAAATCTTGGAAACAGGCTATATATCTCTCAATGGATGGATGGACAAAGAAAATGTTCTATTTAAACACAAAGGAATACTCCTCTGTCATAAAGATAGATGTACTTGAGTCATTTATGGGAAAACGAATGTGTCTTGAGATTTAATGTCGAGTGAAATAAATCAGACATACAAGCTTGAATATCACTTGGTTTCTCTAATATACGAAACCCCAATCATAAATAACAAACAAAATAAACGATAGCCAATAGAAAGTAGGGAGACAGATCTTTCTCAAATGAGAAGATCAAAAGATAGAGGGAAATAGAGGAAAGGGAAAGGAGATGAGAGAATTAAGATGTTATGTGCATGTGTCAACTGCACACAAGAAATATGAACATTATGTACTGCAAACATGTACTAATAAACATGAATTTTATCCAATAAAAATTATTATTGACTAGTAGAGTTAAGTAACTAGAAAAGCTAACACATTAGCAAGGCAATAGAAACAGAGGTCCATTTCACAAGGAAAGATGTCACAAATGTTGAAGACAGGGTTTTGAGTGTTTGACTATCAGAGTACCTGTGTATTCAGCTATGTGCTGTTTCCCACTATGACTGACATCTGTACTCAGCTACTGAAAAAAAGAGCCAGAGTTTGTAAATCTCACATTTTTTATATCAGTCCATCATCACTAATCATAATTTCAAAATTCACTGGAGACCTGGGTCACCTGTATTCTTCTCTCTGATTAGTATATTATCAAAATTAATAAGTAGATGTCTCCTAATCATTGACACATGACATCCTAAACATCATTTCTAGGTTCACAGGCTCTCCTTGGTGTGTTCACTTGGCCTTGCATGTCTAGTGTCTCTACCTATAGCTCTTATCACATGGTAATGTAATTTTTTTGTTGGCTTTGGCTCTTATCTTTGCCCCAAGATTCTGGAGACTCTGTCTGTCTTATTCACTGCTGTGGCCCAAATGCTATGTTCCTAAGAGGAAAAAGTATAGTATAATTCAGTTAGAAACTTCATGATTAGGAAAGGAATCTTAACTCTGGCCTTATGGCATGATGTGATTTATAGGATGGATTAACAATTGACTTAATGGGTCCCCAAAGAAATAGCTAATCATGTTGGATGACTGTTTTTATTTCTTTGTTTGTTTTTTTGAATTATAATTAGATAGTGCTGGAAACTGACATAGAGAAATGCCTGAAATATCAAGGTAGAAGCAAATAAGATCAAGATGTAATATGGAGAAAATAGTAAGATAGAGTTTATAGATAAAGTTCAGATACTATCTTGCACTACATAATTGTTGTAAGGGAGTAGCAAATTTAACACTGAACTTTGTACTACATTAAGCAGAGGAAGAACATCGCCTATTCTGTTATGAAGCTTATAGGATTCATAAGGTCAAAATCATGTTGCTTGTTCAGTAAAGGATGACTTTCTTTGCTTTAGGATCAAGACAAATGTGTTTTGTGTAAGACTGTGCTCTAAAGACAAATCAGTGGTGAGGGTAATATAATGGTTTCACCTGGTATTTTTATTGGTGGTAACATAAGATGTAATATCAGACACTGCTATATAATGATTGTGGAAGATGGAACAACCTTGTAATATAGTATGACCTTCCTGGGTCGTATTTTTAGCTAATCATACATTGATATTCCCCAGCTCACAAAAGAAGAGTATATTATTGGCAGTCATTTTGAATAAAATCCTTCAATCTGAGAGCATTTTTCCTTGGGTATGAGTAAGTGAAAGGCCAGTTGGTGCTGCAGAAATGTGAGGAGATATTGAGAGTTCAGGTAAAATTTCAAGGGTTAATTCTTCTTCTCTTATCAGTACTACTGTACTTGGTGAGTATTTGTAATAAAGACCACTGGAACTATACCACATGTTCAATTAACTTAAATCACTAATGTGCTTAATAGATATTTCTCCAATAAGAAAGGAAAGAGAGGAGTGGAGAGGAAGGAAAGGAAGCAGGAAGGAGTTATAATTTAAATGGTATGAGAGTAAGTCTGTTCACTCTCCATGTGTGTGACCTAGCAGAAACATGAGATTGATTCAGTCTGTTTCATTTCTGTGGACCTCTTAAAATGTGAGTATCTTGCTACTCCAAAGGCAATTCTGGTATTTAAAGATACATGTTCATATCCTATGATCTCTAAAAATATCCAGTTCCTTCGTCTGGTGTCCAATCAAAGAAATGCTGATATATTCTAGTTCTGAAAAACAAAACATAAATAGAAAAACATGCTCTATTGGAATTTCCAGGACATATATTTCAGCAGTTGCCAGTATTTTTGGAACTAGAGATGGGTTTCATGGCAAACAGTTTTCCCACAGACTGCTGGGGCATTGAGGTAGAAGTGAGTGGTTTCTGAATGATTCTAAGGAACATACAACCTAGATCCCTCACCGGCACATTTCACAGTAGGGTTTGCATTCCTTGAGACTCTAATGCCACACATGATCTGACAGAAGGGAGCAGTCAGATGGAAATATACAGGGGAACAGCTGGAATATAGATGAAGCCTCTGTCTTCTCTGCTCATCTGCCACTTGGCTCCTGCTGTGTGCCCCTCTTCCTAACTGGCCATGAAATGTTACTTGTTTTTGATTTAGGGGGTTGGGGATCCCCGATCTACATCCTTGGTAAGGGATAGATAAGGAATTTTCTAGGCTAATTTTAAATGTTTGCTTTTCTTCTCACCTGCCAACTCTAGAATATGTTCCTCAACAAGTCTACTGTGTGTGTGCAGGTATGGTATGGTGGGCAAGAACTTAGCAAGTACACTGGTTATGATGTCAGAATGACCTAAATTTGAAAATGGGCTCCATTGCTTCTGTATTTTGACACATTATTTAACTTTTCAAGCCCGAGTACCATCATAGAGAGAGTGAAACTCATGATGTCTGGTTCATCACACTGATAAATAAGATGATGCATGGGAAAGCATTTAATACCCAACAATACCTGATTATTAATGCAACACAATGATTCTTCATGAATGAAGAGATTTATAGTTTGAGTGTGAAAAGTTTGCAGATAATTTGTGGGGTAGATATCTCCCTTTAGTTCTAATTTCAAGGTTATTTTTTATAAGCCAAGTTACTGTTATTAATACAGTTTCACAATATAAGTATAAGAAGAAAAGGAAGTGAGCTATGCATGATGTCTTATGAAAATAGTGTGTGTGTGTGTGTGTGTGTGTGTGTGTGTAAAAGAGGGAAAGAGAGAAAAAGAAATTCTGAGTCTAGGTGTATATGTTCATTGATATTTATGTGTACTGGTAGCAGGATTGACTTCCATTCTTTCTAAACAGTTTGACTTTAAGAAAAGCCTCTTTCCTTTTAAGATTATTTCACTCTAAGATTTACTTTAGATGTAAGTCACAAGTCAAAGACTACTGATAACACAGAGTGAGAAGTATCTCCACCATGCATAGGTGAGTTCTCACATCCCCTTCCCCACCATAACAAATCAAGACAATCCTATCAAAGAAAAAAGAAGCTGTCCTTTCAGACACCACATAATTGGTTTGGAACATGGAGGCCTATGCATAGTTTCTCTAAGCCAGTGATGGTGAACCTTTTAGAACTTTCAGTGATATTAAACAGCCCTCTGTGGCACACATGCCATATGTTTGCTACCACTACTCTAAGCTTTAAAAGAAAGCTTTGATTCTTCTCTCGTGTATATCCTGGAAGATTTAAATAAACATCGATCCTGCTTCATGTTGAACTTTCCAAGAGAACTGTAATATGATTTTCTCAGCTGATGAGATTTTGTAAAACAGTTATATTTGCATAAATTGCCCTGTAATGGATGCACATGCAATGTCAACAAAAGCAATTTATTGCAGGGAATGAGAGAGAATTCACTCTCAATGTGCTTTAAAATTCAGGTCAACACAATAACCTAAATGTCCTAACTGAGTCATAAAGACTTTTTTCTAAGTAAAGGTCATGACAAATGTTTACAATAGCATATTGCACTAATGAATTCAAATCCTTTGAACCTAATTCATTTTAAGGAATATAAGAGTACAGACTACATATGAGCTGTGACTGAAATACACAGCAAATGCTT